TTATAAACCTACTTTTGCCCACCCTGTATTTGTATCTTCTTCAATTTCTTTCTTTGGTGTCTTATAATTTTCCAAGTATAGGTCTTTTACCTCCTTGGTTAAATTTATTCCTAGGTATTTAATTTTTATTGATTTTATTATTATTTTTTTTCTTTTTTTTTATTTCTTTTTTTTTAAATTAAATCTTTATTGTTCAGATTATTACATTTGTTCCTCTTTTTTTCCCCCCATAACTCCCCTCCTCCCAGTTCCCGCCCCACCCTCCGCCCTCACTCCCCACCCACTGTCCTCATCCATAGGTGCACGATTTTTGTCCAGTCTCTTCCCGGATCTCCCACACCCCTTTCCCCCCCAAGAATAGTCAGTCCATTCCCTTTCTATGTCCCTGATTCTATTATGATCACCAGATTATTTATTCACTTGGTTCTTAGATTCACTTGTTGATAGATGCATATTTGTTGTTCATAATTTGTATCTTTTTCTTCTTCTTCCTGTTCTTAAAGGATACCTTTCAGCATTTCATATAATACTGGTTTGGTGGTGATGAACTCCTTTAGCTTTTCCTTATCTGTGAAGCTCTTTATCTGACCTTCCATTCTGAATGATAGCTTTGCTGGATAAAGTAATCTTGGTTGTAGGTTCTTGGTATTCATCACTTTGAATATTTCTTGCCACTCCCTTCTGGCCTGCAAAGTTTCTGTTGAGAAATCAGCTGACAGTCGTATGGGTATTCCCTTGTAGGTAACTGAGTTTCTTTCTCTTGCTGTTTTTAAGATTCTCTCTTTATCTTTTGCTCTTGGCATTTTAATTATGATGTGTCTTGGTGTGGTCCTCTTTGGATTCCTTTTGTTTGGGGTTCTCCGCGCTTCTTGGACCTGTAAGTCCATTTCTTTCACCAGGTGGGGGAAGTTTTCTGTCATTATTTCTTCAAATAGGTTTTCAATATCTTGCTCTCTCTCATCTTCTGGCACCCCTATAATTCTGATGTTGGTACGCTTGAAGCTGTCCCAGAGGCTCCTTACACTATCCTCGCATTTTTGGATTCTTTTTTCATTTTGCTTTTCCGGTTGGGTGTTTTTTGCTTCCTCGCATTTCAAATCTTTGACTTGATTCTTGCGCTCCTCTGGTCTGCTGTCGGGAGTCTGTATAATATTCGTTATTTCAGTCCGTGTATGCTTAATTTCTAGTTGGTTCCCCAATATAATATCGAGGGTCTCATTGGTTTTCTTGTAGATCTCATTAAGTTTATCGGCGGCTTCTAAACAGTTCTTGAGAGACCTTAAAAGTGTGGTTCTGAACTCTATATCTTCCATTGACAATTTTGTCCTGTTTCTTTGTCTCCGCATTTTGTTATGCTTCCTTGGTGCACCCCCTAGTGGTCTTTGTGCGCAGTCTTATAGTTAAATCTTGATTGTTGTAGCTAATTCCAGGGAGGGTTTGACCTCCAGGCCAAGTGGCTATGAGAATCAGCTGTGTCAGCAGTGAGAGAACTTCTGTCCTCTAGGGAGGTGCTAATCTAGCCTTTGCCTGAGGCTATCCGGCAAATGCCTCTGTGCAGGGCTTGGGCGGGGCGGGTCGCACAGGATCAACAGGGTGGGCCGGAGAGAGCAGTTATGGCAGCTCTCAGTCCTGTCCCCAGGGGCTCTGCCTCTCTGGGTCCCAGCACACGCTGCAAAGCTCAGAGAGAAAGCTGCACTCGCTCTGACTGAAGCCAGACAGTCCCGCTTCTCCCGTTTGAGTCTGGGTCCCTAAAGACTCGCCCGGATCTGGAGCTCAGAGTCTACGACTCCCTCCCGATTGAAAACGCCAACCGCGCCCTCCGCCGCCAGCGCGCTCCGCGCACTCCGCACCTCAGAATTTGACTTCAGCACTGTGCCTCCTCTGAGTGTCCGTATGCGTTTCTCTTTCCTCCTAGTTGTAGGACTTCCACTCAGCCAGCGTTCCTGTGGTTCTGGGTGATATCCCTTCCGTTTTTTGGTTTCACTTTTGAAGTAGTTGTTCAAAGCAGCAAACTCCGGCGTTAACCTATGCCGCCATCTTGGTTCTCGGTCTGATTTTATTATTTTTTAATATAGTTTTTTTTTATTTCAGAGAATAAGGGAGGAGGCTAGAGAGATAGAAACATCAATGATGAGAGAGAATCACTGATTGGCTGCTTCCTGCACACCCCACACGGGATCCAGCCCGCAACCTGGGCATATGCCCTGACCAGGGAATCGAACCTATTTCATAGGTCAACACTCAACCACTGAGCCACTCTGGCTGGGCATTTTTATTTTTTTGATGCAATTGTAAATGGGATTGTTTTCTTAGTTTCCCTTTTTATTAGTTCTTTATTGGTGTATTAAAATGCAACTGATTTCTGAATATTTTGTTTCCTTTTTGTTTCCTACTACTTTACTGATTTCATTTATCAGTTCTAGTAGTTTTTTGGTGGTATCTTTAGGGTTCTTAACACGTGTACTTTTTAAATTCTTAGATAAAGAACAGTGTTTCTGCCCTGGCCAGTGTTTCTAAGTGGTTAGAGCAGTGGTTCTCAACCTTGGCTGCACATTAGAATCACCTGGGAATTTTTTTAAAATCCTGATTTCTGGGCCCATCCTCCGGAAATTCTGTTTCTTTGTTACTAATGTTGTGGCCCCACCCCATAACAAAGAAACAGAATTTCCAGAGGATGAGGCCCAGAAATCAGGATTTTAAAAAGATTCCCACACCCTAACCGGTTTGGCTCAGTGGATAGAGCGTCGGCCTTTGGACTGAAGGGTCCCAGGTTCGATTCCAGTCAAGGGCATGTACCTTGGATGCGGGCATATCCCCAGTAGGGGGTGTGCAGGAGGCAGCTGATCGATGTTTCTCTCTCATCGATGTTTCTAACTATCCCTCTCCTTTCTTCTCTGTAAAAAATCAATAAAATATATATTTAAAAAAAAATAAAAAAGTAAAAAAATAAAAAGATTCCCAGGTGATTCTAATGTGCAGCCAAGGTTGAGAACCACTGGGTTAGAGTGTCGGCCCACGCACTGAAGAGTCATGGGCTTGATTCCGGTCAAGGGCACATACCTGGATTGCAGGTTGAATCCCCAGCCCCAGTTGGGGCACGTGCAGGAAGAAACCAATGGATATGTCTCTCTCACATCAATGTTTCTCTCTCTCCCCCACCCCACCCCCTCTTAAAAAAAAATCAATGGAAAAAAATATCCTTGGTTTAAGATTAACAAAAAAAGAAAGAAAAAGAGAGCAGTGTGTCTGAAACTAAGCATGGGAACCTTAGAGAGGTCAGGGTATTCATTGATAGTTGTAGACACTGGGGTTCTAAAAAATTGTTTATAAACTATGAGCTATATAGACAAGGGGAGAAGTGGCTCTAATCCTGAGCCCTTAACTTCTGTTCTTTCTGAATACATGAGGTTTATTGCTATATTTAAGTGGAATACTTGCTGCAGAGGCTATATAACAGCCTTTGTAAAATAAAAGCATAGATGGAAGATCACCTAAGCCCTTGCAGGTATCTTTGTCATCACTCTGATTCAGTATTTTACACAAACCCTAGGTTATGTTATTACTTTCACTTCTTCCACTTAGACTCTATTGGGGTGAAATAGCAAAACAATGCAAATTTTTAATTACCATTTTCTGATTAACTAAAACTATGTTACTAAATTTTATAGAAAGTAGTCTTCATAGTGATGCCAATCTGTCTCATTCAACTATCTGGGAGAAGCCGGAAACCCCTTTGGAATTAAGATGAGAATTCTGGCTCTTACAGGCTTCATCTGTTCTTCTTCCCGCGTGGTTGAAAAGCTGCTAGAAATATTTCTGCAGGCTGACTAAGGATCTGTTTCTCTCCACATTTGAGTGTACTGAAGTGGGTGCTATGCAATTTAAATGTCTGATTTCCAGATCATTTTATTTCCGTCATTCCTGTTATGTCTTTGGCTCAACAGACTCTAGAATTTGTTTCAGACTTAATCTCAGACTGATATTACATGTTGAAGGCTTTGTCACAGAGCTTTGTGTGCTTTCCTGAGCCACAATATACTCTGAAGCTTTAGGGCTTCAAAGGCCAGCGGTAATTTTTATTTCTCCTTTCCCTTTCACTGCTAGACGCATCTCAAGGATTCTGATCCATTCAGTTCTACCCCTTGAACATCCAAAGTGGAATTAGACCACTGCCAAGACTGCTCTAAGGAGTTCAATTCTTCTGAATTTTATCTAGAAGAATTATAACTTTTCTTTTTCATCTCCTTTTCATCTTAAAGTGATTCCAGGCTACGTTAGAAAGGCTATTGTTTATTGAAATAGACCCTCAGAAACACTTTATTCCTAACATGTATTTAGTCCCTCTCTTTCTGTAGTATGGTTAGTTTTTGACCCAAGGGGTTGACTACTTCTCAACTCAGTCAGCTTAAAAGGGTTAAATTATATGCAGCACAAATTTCTCATTTGTGAAGTTGACTTTTTCATATGAATGATTTTCCATCTCAAGAAATTGTTTCTATTTCAAGGACTAACAAATTCTACTTTACAAAGAGTTAAAGTGGGTTTCCTAAGGAAGTTTTTACTAAAGAGCCAGACCATCTATTTAAATGGAATCATTGTTGTAACTTAAGAGTGTTTTTTTGCTGCTGCCTCTGTTTATAAACTGTGAGCTATATAAAATGTATAAAATGGAACAACGTGGAGAGTAGCCAATAGCGGAAAGTGGCCCTCTATAAAGACTTTCTCCTTTCTCTGCAGTTTCTTGTGATTATACTTAGTGGGCTTTGACCATCATGTAGTATTTCATAAAGCTCCTAAATAGACTTCTCTTTGGGCTCTGAAGAAAATGACTGAATTTTGTCAGTCACCCAGCATTGGTAATATTGTGGCCATTGAGCAAACTTTGAAGCAATAAAAATAATTCAGTTGAAAATAATTCTGTTTCATTCATACATAGCAAGCTGTAGATCCCATGTGTACTGCATGTCTCACCTGGAGGCTTTTCTTTGCCCTTTTTCCAGCACTTTGTTAGTGAACGTAAATATGACGAGGATCTGGGAAGAGTAGCCCGGTTCACCTGTGACGTGGAGACCCTAAAGAAGAACATTGATTCATTTGGACAAGGTGAGATAGCAAGAGATTCCGGGCACTGGAGATGGTGATGAGAAGACCACACTACTAATTAGAGACTGAAGTGCTGGCTGGCTTCTCTTCTGATTCTTCTTTCGTGCCTCTTGTGTTTTGTTTGTTTTTATGAAAAGTAGCTCTGAGATCTTTAAGAAGTCAGTGGATGCAGATGCTTGGAGCACTGAGGATGGGCTCCCTAAATTTGCAATAACATTTTTTTCATCCATTCTCTGTTGAGTTGAGAGTGTATGATATGAAGTATAAAGAGCATGGAGCTCTGGAGTCAGACCAAGTTTGCCTCTACTCATTTTATTCCTCTGGAACCTCATTTTATTCCTCTCCAAAATGGAGATAGTAATGCCTACCTTGCCTGGCATACAATAGGTGATAAAACAATAGCTTCATAGAGGGTGGTGCCTCTAAGGTGAGAGTTTGTGGGCCACCAATCCTGAGCTCAGCTCCTTGGTTCTTTCCATCTCGGTATGAAAGTGAAATGTTGGCTCTAGGGCAGTGATTGTGAACTCAGCACTAGTCCAGGCTTAACACCAAGAAAAAAATCTAGTGGGGAGCATTAAACCATTGAATTCTGACAAAATTCGAATTGAAAATGTTAATATTTTTCAGCTAAATTGGTATTTTAAGTTTGGGATTGTTTTTGCGAAAGAATCCTAGGAAGATACATGTTTGTTGTAAAGACTAGTTCTGTTCATATTAACTAATCTTGATTAGTTATACTGTGCATCATTCAAATTTTTTTAAAAAGATTAACTCTTTACCTTTGTCTTTCTTTGTAGAGTGTTCCTTTGTCTGTACTTTAGAGTGTTCCTCACATAGTAACTGTATGTATGGCTTATATTGTTATTCCTAGGTTTAGGTAGTAGGAAGAGCCAGGACCTTAGGTAGTAGGAAGTCAGGAAGGCACTAGTTGGTGGGGGGATAGGTCACTCTGGTCTTGAACTATTGGCATATTTCTAAGAGCAGTGGGGATTTGGAGGAAGATGGCAGAAGGGAGATTTTCCTTTTTGTTACCCGTTTTATGTATAAGCATTCTTTATCTTAAATTGCTCTTGTGAAATGGTGAAAACCTTACCCTTCATCCTCTTTCATCATATGACTGCGTATTTCATATATTTGTTTCAGTGTCCCATCCAAAGAACAGCTATTCAACCCGATCGCGATGTAGCTCAGTTACATCTGTGTCCCTGAGTAGCCTGTGTGATGCCCCTGCTGCTGCTGTTGCTGCTGCTGCTTCCACCTGTGCCTCTGGTCCCAGCCTTACAAGTACTAACAAGAAAAACTCGGCACCAGGAGAGACTCCTGCAGGCAGAGCAGACTCCAGTGGCCGGTCCTATCAGCCTCATCGTCAGGTAACCTGGCTTCCACACTGAGCTAGTCAGGAAGAAAGCTACCAGATTTTCAGGTTTTTTTAAAAAATATTTTATTGATTTTTTTACAGAGAGGAAGGGAGAGGGATAGAGAGCTAGAAACATCGATGAGAGAGAAATATCTATCAGCTGCCTCCTGCACACCCCCTACTGGGGATGTGCCCGCAACCAAGGTACATGCCCTTGACTGGAATCGAACCCGGGACCCTTCAGTCCGCAGGTCAACGCTCTATCCACTGAGCCAAACCGGTTAGGGCACAGTTTATTTTTTTATTTTTTATTTTATTTTTTTAAATATATAGATTGTCACCGTTTAAGTGCTGACAGTTCAGTACATTACCTTCCTCTCTTTATTCCCATTCCACACCTATTTTGAATCTCTCCAGCCTGTTAGTTCCAGAGAAAGCATTTGGTATGTATGTTCCAAACCACCAGCCAGTTTAGATTTCCTGTTGCCAAGACTGCTGACTTTCTGATGTTGGCAGTGATTCTAGCTGTCGTAGGTAGTAACGCCTGGTAATTAGTCACAGTGGGAGTCGTGCACCCATCTCAAGGTAGATAAATACCACAGTGGCAGGTTCACCAGAATGAAGCAGCAACTCCTTAGAAGTACAATGTAGAATATACCGGAGAGAGTGTGAACTTGGTTCCATACGGAGTGAACACTAGAAAGTTGAAGCATAATCCATAGTTTCTTTTCCTTGGTTTGAAAAAGATACACAAGAGCAATTGAAAGCAGTGCTGTCGGTAATTCTTCAGAATTGAAATTAGAAGACAAAAAGAAAATCCCATGCCATAAACTTTCTGGGTTGTAATGTAAAAATGTACTGCATGTCATAGCAGTGTGATTGAATCTATGGTTTATATAGCAAAGCAGATCATAATGATGTTTATTTTATTATAACAAATGTTCATTATCTTTACAAATTATTTATTATCTGCAAAGCTCAGACATGTAATAAGATACTTGCCCAATTGAGGGCTTGTAACACCCCAAGGAATGTTTTTCTTTCTTTAGCGTGTGCCCAGCTAAAGAAAAGTGAACTCCTCTTCAGTGGAGAAGAGCCTAGGGGTGAAAAGCAGGGGAAAATAGTGAAAGAATGATCATTTCTGATGCAGTGGCTAGGTTGAATTAGGCAGAATTCTGTGAATCTTGAGAGATCACTGAGTCCCGAGTATGGACTACCACAATTATGCTGTCAGAATACTCCTATAAACTAAACTGGAACAAATGGAGTACCACAGTGCCAGAGTATTTTGGACATCATATTCTTTCGTCCTTAGGTGTTGCCGGGGAACCGACGAGGAGGACAAGGCTACAGGCCGCAAGGCCAAAAGCTCAGTGACCCCACGAACCAAGAACAACATGACAGTATGGGTCGTTACAGAAATAGCTCATGGTATTCATCTGGTTCCAGGTATCAGAGTTCACAACCCCAGGCACCAGGAAATGCTAGTGAACGGGGCCAGGCGCTCTCTGCAGGGAACAATGGAACTGGAGCCAGCATGGAACCCAGCCCACCTAAGCCCTCATTCAAAAGGGGCCCACTCCCCCAGCGCAAACCCAGGACCTCTCATCCTGCAGCTGTGAACTCTTGAGGGAAATTCCAATTGGCCTTTCTCCTTTATCCCACATAATTCAACTTGGTAACTGGACTTTAGGAAACTTATAGTTAGATTTAATAACAGAAAGACGTTTTCGCATATCAGTTTTTATACCATTCTAAATATTTCTTTCCTCATTTCCTCATTATTCTTGGAAGGCAATCTTTTTTTTCCCCTTGACCTTTCCCCGTGATTTGGATTCATTCTGATTGGTCATTTCTACCAGGAATCATGGGCAATGATGGCCAAGTTTCCCAAGAGTAAGCAGTGTTCTTCCCAGGGCACCAGGCCTTTCAGTTGCCCGCAGAGGCCGTCCTCAGCAGCCCCCACGGTCAGGCTCTCAGGAGTGGATGGGCCGGCGCTAGTCCTACTGCCTTTCCAGTCTAAGAGGAGCCACACATGCCTGTCAGGTTCCCTCTAAACAACAGTTTCACCAGGAGAGGCACTGAGGGGATTGTGTACTGCACTGAATTAGAGAAGTGGAAAATTTAATTGGTGAAAAGGAAAAAAAGACTAGGAAATATTTAAGAATCTGCCTCTCACAAAGTGCCTGAGATTGACACTCAGATCAGGGTTTCAGTCTCCCACTTGGCATGATAGCTTAACCTGCAGTTTCTTCAAAATATCCAAAGCTTTGTTTCCTTAATTTCCTTAGACTGCAAACGTGTCTAGGGAAGTCCATGGGAAAATAGCATTTATTTAAAGTTAAAAGAGGGGGGAAAGTATTTCTTTGCTTTAATGTTTGAAGATTTTTGTTGTTATTATTCTCATTCTAAATCGTATTCTTATCCTAAATCAAATTTATAGCTATGTAATTAGTGTTAATCTAAGTGTTACTCATCAAAAAATTGCCACAGTCAATCTTTAGAGTTGAGTAAATAAAAACAACTGCATAAATGTTCCCACATTTGTTTCCCAGTGGCAAGTGACTTCATTTCATTATCTATTTTTCTTTGGGCCTCATGTGGTAGAAGTCTCTGAGACAGCTTGTTCGGGGCTTAAATGAGGGTGTCTGATGCCTAAGTCATCTGTCCGCTGCTTAGCTTCAGAACCAAATTAAAATGTGAAGAGCCAGAATGAGCAAATGCAGCTGTTCCTGTGGGAAAGATTCATAGGATAGGGAATGACTTTCCAAAGGAGAGCTTACCAGTTTAGAAAAACCACAGCTGCCAACGGCTCTCCCAGGCAACCAAAGGTTATATCAGCACCCTCCTCCCTGCCTGTCCCTTGACAGGAGTAGTGAATGTAACCGTATAATTGAGCTCCCGCACGTAGCAGGTGGCATCGGTGCCAGATCCTTGCACCCTATCCCCACTCCAGCATCTATGATTTAATAACAGCAGAGCGATTTATTTCTCCGGTATTTGTTCTCCCAAGTCTGAATCCCAGACTGAGTGGCAGTGGTGCAGAACTCAGCTGCCTCAGGGCTTCCCCTGGCTCTTTGGCTGAAGCTGAGCTGCCTGGTTCAGGTTGGTTGAACAGATTTAGAGAGGACGAGAGATTGTGTGTGTCTTTCAGTAATGAAAACAGTAGTCAAGGAGTACTGGGAAGCCATTTTCTAAAAGGCTCATCACCTCATTTTGGGGAATTTGTCCAATAACACCATCAGCCTGCTGGGTGTCAGGAAAAAAACCCCCTGCTTTTCTGATTAATTGCTTACCTTACTTTATAGGAAATTCAGAGATTGAAACAACCTTGAAGGATTCTGAGGTCTATCTCTGTATCCAAGCAAAACTGTACTTAACCACCCAGACAGATGGGAAGCCACTGTTTATGAAAACAGTCTTTAAGTCGAAATTAAAATCTTATAGAAAAGTATTTGAATATATTTTTCTGTGACCATAAAAAGTTTGAAAATTATCAAGATTTTTCTACATTTTGTTTTTAATTACAAAGTAGTATTTAAAATATCAAATAATGCCCTAACCGGTTTGGCTCAGTGGATAGAGCCCCGGCCTGTGGACTCAAGGGTCCCAGGTTCGATTCTGGCCAAGGGCATGTACCTTGGTAGCGGGCACATCCCCAGTGGGGAGTGTGCAGGAGGCAGCTGATCGGTGTTTCTCTCTCATCGATGTTTCTAACTCTCTATCCCTCTCCCTTCCACTCTGTAAAAAATCAATAAAATATATATTTTTTTAAAAAAATCAAATACTACAGAAATGTAAAAGGAGAAAATTAAAGTTTCTATTCCTCATGCTTAGTAATGACTTAGTTTGGTGTAGCCCAGATGTTGTGGCTCAGTGGTCGAGCATTGACCCATGAATCAGGAGGTCACAGTTCAATTCCCAGTCAGGGCACATGCCTGGGTTGCGGGCTCAATCCCCAATGTGGGGCATGCAAGAGGCAGCCTATCAATGATTCTCATCATTGATGTTTCTATCTCTCCCTCTCCCTTCCTCTCTGAAATAAATAAAAAAACATATTTTTTAAAAATAATAATTTGGTCTATACCCTTATAGATTTTTCAAGGCATATATGTATATATATACATGAATATATAGATTTTTTGTTTGTATGTGTTTTATGATTTTTTTTAATCATGTCTAAACCATAGTTCATTTAGGATCTTCTGTTGTAGATATTCTGTTCCTAAATTTGCCAATTTGACTTTCTTTGATGAAGATAAGTTAGGTTTATCTTAAGTTTGAATTGTGCAGCCATTCCTTGCTCTCCATATAGATCTGGCCTTCCTAAGAGAAGAGAAGCTCTGAACCCTGGGCAGCTCCCATTGGCTGGTCAAAGAGATCCTACCTAATCATCATTGTTCCTTCCTTTTCCATTGCCTCTTAGAGGTCAATGTCTTGCTTTTCCCCAACTTAGAGATAGGACTTGAAACTTCAGATTGCTTATCTCTGACAGTTATATGCCCCTGGAGAGAGAACATTTCAGTTAGCATGGCTTCATTATGAACATCAGGTGTTGCCTAGGCCCCTTATTTATCACAGTTCTTAAAATTCCCTCTCTCCCTGCCACTCTTCTCTTAAAAAAAAAAAAAAAAAAAGATCAATGGAAAAAATATCCTCAGGTGAGGATTAACAATAAAAGGATGGTACAAAAGGATGGATGCATGATGGAAGATAAAAAATCTTCCCCTATCTTGTCCCATTGGTAAGTTTCATATATATCTTGCCACAAATTTTCTAAATTTCAAACATGCAAATATATATATTTTTTTCTTTTATATAAATAGGAATCAAACTATTCATACTTCTATAACCTTGCTTTTTTCAATTCTCACTTTTTATAATAGATTTTTTGTTTTATGAAAAATCAATATATATATAAATGCTAAAAAAATTAATAATAAATTTAAACAGTTCAAAAGTACATATGATGAAAAATATGCCTCCATCCCACTCTGGACTTTTTGCCCCCTCCCCTGAGGCCACCACTCTTAAGTACCTTGTGTTCCCTTCAGAGATTTTCTGTACTAGCTCATGTATATCGTAAGAATGTATACCACTCTTTAAAAATTAAATTTATTGGGGTGACATTGGTCAACATGAATACATAGGTTTCAGGTGTGGGTTTCTATGTTACAAGATTTGTATATTACACCATACGCTTACTACTCTAAGTCAAATCCCCCTGTCACCATATATTAGGACCCCTTTCTCCTCCCACCCCCTTCCCTCAGGCAACCACCACACTGCTGTTTGTGTTCACAAGTTTCAGTTTTATATCCCACATATGAGTGAAATCATATAGTTCTTAGCTTTTTCTGACTGACTTATTTCACTTAGCATAATGTTCTCAAGATCCATCCATGTTGTTGCAAATGGAGCTATTTCATCCTTTCATATGGTTAATTAGTATTCCATTGTGTACATGTACCACATCTTCTTCATCCAGTCCTTTATTGCAGGGCACTTTGGTTGTTTCCATGTCTTGGTCACCATGAATAATGCTGTAATGAACATAGGGATGCATATAGCTGGTGATTTCAAGTTTTTTGGGTATATACCCAGGAGAGGGATTGCTGGGTCGTATGGTAGCTCTATTCTCAAATTTTTGAGGACTCGCCACACTGCTTTCCATACTGGTTATACCAATCTACATTCCCACCAGCAATCGATGAGGGTTCCCCTCTTTCCACAACCTCTCTAACACTTGTTATTGCTTGTCTTATTGACAATGGCTACTCTAACAGGTATAAGAGTTTTTTGTTGTTGTTTTTAAAATATATTTTATTGATTTTTTACAGAGAGGGAGGGAGAGGGAGAGCGAGTCAGAAACATCGATGAGAGAGAAACATCCATCAGCTGCCTTCTGCACACCTCCCACTGGGGATGTGCCCACAACCAAGGTACATGCCCTTGACTGGAATCGAACCCTGGAACCTTCAGTCCACAGGCCGATGCTCTATCCACTGAGCCAAACCGGTCAGGGCTATAAGGGGGTTTTTGATTATAGTTTTGATTTGCATTTCCCTAATTACCAGTGAGGTTGAACATCTTTTCATATATCTGTTGGCTGTATCTTCTTGAGAGAGGAGTATTTTCAGGTCCTCTGCCCACTTTTTGATTGGGTTGTTTGTCTGGTATTGATTTTTATGAGTTCTTTTTTTTTAAAAAAAATGTATTTTTATTGATTTCAGAGAGGAAGGGAGCGAGAAATAGAAACATCAATGATGAGAAAGAATCATTGATCAGCCACCTCTACTAGGGATTGAGCCCGCTATCCCAGGCATGTGCCCTTGACCGGAATCGAACCTAGGACCCTTCAGTCCACAGGTGGACGCTCTATCCACTGAGCCAAACCAGCTAGGGCTATGAGTTCTTTATATTTTTTTTTAATTAAACCTTTGTCAGAGCTACCGTTTGCAAATATCTCCCATTCTGGTTGGCTGCTTCTTTATTTTGTTGTGCAGAAGCTTTTTAGTTTGATACAGTCCCATTCATTTATTTTTGCCTTTACTTCCCTTGCCTTTGGGGTCAAGTTCATAAAATGTTCTCTATGACCAAGGTCCATAAGTTTGGTACCTATAGTTTCTTCTATGTAACTTGTTTCAGGTCTTATATTTAGGTCTTTGATACATTTTGAATTAATTTTTGTACATGGGACAAACTGTAATCCACTTTCATTCATTTGCATATGGCTTTCCAGTTTTCCCAGCGCCATTTATTGAAGAGAGTATTTTGACTCCATTGTGTGTTTCTGGCTCCTTTGTTGAAAATTATCTGTCCATATACATGTGGTTTTATAGCTGGGCTCTCTATTCTGTTCCATTCTGTGTGTCTGCAAATGCCATGCTGTTTTGATTATCGTAGCTCAATAGTATAATTTGAAGTCGGGTAGTGTGATACCTCCAGCTTCATTCTTTTTTCTCAGGATTGCTTTGGCTATTCAGGGTCTTTTGTAGTTCCATACAAATCTGATGATTTTTCATTGTATTTTTTTAAAAAATGACATTGGGGGTTGCATTAAATCTGTATATTGCTTTGGGTAATAGAATGTACTATACCACTTAGACCTCTTTTTATGTCAGTATTCACAAACATACCTTGTTCTTCCTATGGCTGGATAATATCTCATTGTATAAATTTATCATAATTAGTTTATCCCGTCCCTACTAATGGTTTTCAGGTTTTTGCTATTATAAGTATTGATGAAATGAGCATCTCATAATATGTATATCATTCCTCATTTGTAAATGTGTATCTTCAGGACAAATTCCTATAAGTGGAATTGCTGGACCTCATTGGTAAAGTATTCTTAAAGATGCATGGATATACACTCTCGCCAACAGTGTTTGGGAGTGCTTAGTACAGGTGCTGAGCTGGAAGCTGAGGAAAGACAAAGATAACCAAAACACATCCCTTCAAGGGGCTGATAAGCCAGTTGGGGCAACTGAGACATACGGATAAAATAATACAAGGTAATAGTGTTGCATGAATGAGCCATGCT